TGTTAATTAATTAATTACTATTAGTATTGAATAACTTTTATATTTTGTTAGATTATCATTTTTTTTTTTCTTAGCTATTGGTAAAGTAATTATTGTTAATAATTTGACTCGCAATAATTTGTTGTTTTTTTTTTGGGTAGTTGAGTGGGGATAGGGCCCCTAATCATGATACGAATGGAACTCAAGACGTCATGTTATGGCGACTCACTACCCTAACCACCTAGCCTTGAGCCCATTCCTAATAAGTATTTCATAAATTTTCTCTAGAATCATTGTGTCAACGATCAAGATAAACAAAAAAGCAACTAACTAAAACTTTCTTGCTTCCAGCATCCTCAGTTTCGTATTCTTTTCTTAACAAACTTTTGTAAGTGCTTTACAGTAGGCTTGCTGGAGAAGATATCAGACTATATATAGGTGGTGCATCGATAATATTTTCAAGATACATGTATTCATCATATTCCACATTGCATTCTTGTTCACCTCCTCTTTGTTAGACTCCTTGGTAACAGCAAGATATGTGGTGGACCCTGTGTACACCAATTCCGAAGATTCCAACAGGAATAGAGCTTTGCATTGCTACTTTTTATAATTAGTTACATCAAAGCAATCAATTTTAATATAATCATGGTTGATCTCTCGATTGCTAGCCATTGAAAACCAGGTATTCCTATTGACTATTGGTAATAGATTGTGCAAAGAATGAAATCAGCCAATATGTCCAATAATTACTATATTCATTTGAAATTTTTAGGCATGGTTTTCACTTTCTTTACGGCAATGGTTGTCCCTTGGGTGCATTGGTTTTAAGAAAACCCCTAATACTTCGGTATACAACAAAGCCCCATTGGACAATTGTATTACAGAATTTGCACATTCAAAATGTAGCAAAAATACCAAAGTATTGGCTCTAATATATCCACTAATAAATTGAAATAAAAAAAATATTTTATAAGAATGGTATTTTCCTTGGAAATACTTTCCACTTCAAATGCTAATTTTCTGAGGAACTAGTAAAAAACAGAGGACAAAGGACAAACTAGAAAGGTTTTCTAAGACATAAGGGTTTAAGGGTAATATGGTAAGCAATGAGAGGTTTAGATAAAGCTGATAGTCAGTCTGTAGTGTATATGTAAGAGTGCTCACTTCAAATTCCATCATACTCTTTTTGTCATACTTGTAAGTTGAATATGCAATGCATGGAGTTTCACATGAATGGGTACAACATATATTTAAAAATACGGTTTGTCACCTCAACTGGAACTATATTGTGTAAATAGAATTTGAAGTCCTCTTTTACTCTCTTTAATGGGCGAGATAACCACCCACCAATGTTAAATTTGAGAGTTGCTTGTGCTGTCCGGATCCAAACTTTTCTCTCATGCTTTGTAGCACCACATGTGTCTGCAGTTCACATGTGTGACACATTGGTGAACTCATATTTGTGTGACTGATATGTTTGAGCCCTTGAACGAGTAAGCATTTCAACGTTTATATATTTATATATGTGCAATGAACCCAACAGCTCTTTTTCTGAACTTAAAGATATTCTAATGTTGCCCATTTCTATTAGAAAATACCCAAAATGTCCATATCTTCAAACTTCATACATCGAAAAATTAATGTTTGTAATGTATGAGTCAAATAAATCCAAATTGGAAATGAATCAAGCTGTATAAATTGACTAGAACTTCTTGAGTTGAACATTGAAATATGTAGATGGGTGGTTTAGTTCTTCAATACGCATTTTTCTTGTTGTCCGCAGTTTCTTCGTGGAAGCCTGTTCTTCTAGCTATCCCGACACGACCCAATAATGGGTTTATTCATCTTTAATGTGCTCCTAATAGCCTTTGATTTTATGTCTTATTGTGAGCTTCAATTTGTCTCATCAAGTTCACTAAGTCTTGGTTTACATTTCTTGGATCCCCATAGGTATCTTGGAAAAGGAGAAACAACTTTTAGGTTAACAGTTCCAAACTAGAATTCGAACACATGCTATCTGTTCGTAAGCAGTCTTATTGTTTGGCTTCAATTACTTTGTGATTTCCATTCATGTCCATTGGCTGAATTCACTAAACTAAGAGTAGTTCCATCCCAATTGCTTTTGTATGGTTGTTTCATGAGCAGACCAAGCATTCTGAATTGGTATTTATTATCTTTCATTTAAGAGGATTATGTTGTGGTTAATCACCCAACATAGGCTCGTGGTCATGGATGTCTGCATAAAGGCATGGAGGAGAAGGGGTAAAAGTAATGGACATCCAAGAACTAGGTGGTGGAATTTAAAAAAATAAGAAAATAGACTTATTTAGGGATAAATTAGTTGAAGAAGAAAACTGAAATTCTGAACATGATGTCAATGTAATGTGGAATGAAATGGCTGAATGTATCAAGAAAGTGGCAAAAGAAGTTTTAGGAGAATCTAGAGGGAAAAGAAACTTCAATAAAGAAACTTGGTGGTGGAATGATAAGGTTCAAAAGGTCATTAGCAAAAAACGATCATGTTATAAAACTTGGCAATGTAATAGAAACGATAAAAACTTAGAAGAATATAAAAATGCTAAGAAAATGCTAAACAAATAGTAAGTAAAGCTAAACTTAAGGCATATGATTATCTATACAATAAACTGGGAACAAGAGAAGGTGAAAAAGATATTTTCAAATTAGCAAAAATAAGAGAGAAAAAGTGTAGGGATCTAAACCATATTAAATACATTAAGAGTGAGGATCAAAGGGTGTCAACGAAAGGTTGAGAGTCTATTTTAAAAAATTATTAAATGATGAAATCAATGGGAATATATAGTGGTATAAGGGACTACTGGTATAAGTGACGACAGAGGTCATAGATACATTTGTAGGATTAGGATGTCGAAAGTGAAAGAAGCTTTGAAAAGGATGGAGAGAGGAAAGGCTTTAGGACCTGATGATATCCCGATAGAGGTTTGGAAGTGCATGGGGAAAGTTGGCATTGACTGGCTGACAAACTGTTCAACAAAGTGTTGAAAACAAAGAAAATGCTAGACGAATGGAAGAAAAGTATTGTGGTACCTTTACATGAACAACAGAGACATGCAGAATTGTGCAAACTATCGATGGGTCAAGCGTATGAGCCATACTGTAAAGCTCTGAGAGAGAGTCATTGAGCAACGATTGAGGCATGAAACAAGTGTATCTCAAAATCAATTTGGTTTTATGCCGGGAAGGTCAACAACTGAGGCTATTTTCCTACTTAGGCAACTAATTGAGAAGTTTAGGGCGAAGGGAAAAGACCTCCACATGGTCTTTATTGATCTAGAAAAAGTTTATGATAGAGTAACTTGTGATTTGATTTGATGGGTGTTGGAAAAGAAAAGCGTCTCTAGACACTACATTGACTTGGTGAGAGATGTGTACAATGGAGTGCTAACTAGTGTACGAACAATTAGTGGAGAGACGAGTGAGTTTTTAGTCACAATAGGTCTACATCAAGGTCAGCATTGAGCATGTACCTCTTTGTCTTAGTTATGGACAACTTAATTAGACACCTACAAGATGCGGTACCGTGGTGCATGTTGTTCGCAGATGAGACCCGAAGCGACGTCAACAAAAGCTAGAACTTCGAAGGGATGCTCTAGAATCTAAAGGTTTTAAAATTAGTCGGACTAAGACAGAGTATATAAAATGCAAGTTTAGTAATAATAAGAGTAGAGACGAGGAAGTAATCAAGATTGACGGCCAGGAAGTATAAAAAAGACTACACTTTCGATATCTTGGATCGATAATCCAAAAAAATTGTGAGATCAAAGAAGATGTCGCACACAGAATTAGAGCTTGGTGGGCGAAGTAGAGAGGTGCAACTAGAATTTTATGTGATCACCGTATACCAATGAGGCTGAAAGGCAAGTTCTATAGGACAGCGGTGAGACCAGCTTTGCTCTATGGTACGAAATGTTGGGCAGACAAAAAACAATATACCCATAGATTGAGTGTAGTAGAGATGAGCATGTTGAGATAGATGAGTGGCAAGACAAAAATTGATAGAATTCGAAATGAATCTATTCGAGAGAATTTAAGCATGGCACCAATAGGCGATAAAATGATAGAGAGTAGATTTATGTGGGTTGGTCATGTGTGGCGCAAACCAAGTACAACGCCTGTTAGGAGATGCGAGTTAGTTCAAGTGGAAGGATTGAAAAGGCCAAGAGGTAGGCTCAAAAGTGCGTGGTTGAAAGTAGTTCGAAAATATAATGAAGATTTATGGCTTCACTAAGGATATGGCCTTTAATAGAGCAAAATGGAGAACCAAGATTCATGTAGTCGACCCCAATTAATTGGGAAAAGACTAAAATGATGATGATGATGACGATGTTGTGGTTAGTCAGTCTTGTTTGGAGAGACTTGTATTTAACTTATGATCATTGTAGGTCTTAGGTATGCAAAACCTCCCTCACTTGTTTATGCAAGTTTGAGGCATCAGAGAGATGTGACTTGTTCATAAGATCTTTTCTAATATCGATGGTAGTTTGGTGTCTGTTCATGCCCATAATAGTGTGATTGTGTCGGAGTGTGGCTTCTCTTCAATAAGCCATTTCCTTTAAAACTTGCAGGTTTGTTCATGAAGGAACTTTTAACTGCCGGAACAGATCAAACTCTTTGTTGCAATCGATGTTTGCTAATGTTCTTCTCTCAATTGGTTGTCATATTTATGCAAACAACTATTTTAATTTGCCTAATCAAAATTCACATAACTTTCTTGAGTAAGCTCTAGATGGCAAAGCGAAATGTTTATTTTATCTTCTGTTCTGTCTTTTATTTGGTAGAATGTTTTCTGATCATGTTAGCAAAACCAAAATCAATACACTTTTGTATCTGTTTACTGATCAACAGAATCATAAAATAAACCAGAAAGAAAATCTCCTTATTCATTAAAACAAAATGCGTGGAATCAATGTATTTGCCATCACATTTGTTTATTCATTCTGATAACATAACAACTTGAATTTTTGTGCATGGAATGACAGTTATGGCTGTTCTGGTCATCCAGTGGATGAAGGTGGGTCTCAGTGCAATGTTTGAGCATGAGCAGTTGTTTGGTGGAACATGGATAGGGGCATATACCGCATTGTGCTTCTCATGTGGCTACTTCGCATATGATCAACTGGACATGCTTCTGCACCATTTATATAGTGGATGGTTCCCTTCCATTCTAGTTCACCATTTGATTCTTCTGGTTTGCTTCACACTTGCTCTTTACCGGAATGTCACCATCAACTACCTGGTCCTCACTCTGGTGTGCGAGGTACCCAATTTGAGTTATTCATCTTCAATGCCTCTCTGTTTTGAATTTAGTTGGAAAATGCCTCAAGTTTATATATTTGGGTGAAGAACAAAGCACCCTCTCTGTCTTCATAATCAAGAAGACTTCAACCTTCTTGGGTTTTGAACAAATTTAAAATAGAGTTTGTTGCAGCTGCATTCCATCTTTCTACATGTGAGAAAAGTGCGTAGGATGGCCGGATTGAGAGATGGGAGAAGCATCATCGTGAGGGCCGAATGGACACTCAATTGGCTCACCTTCTTCTTGGCTAGGCTTGGGTGCCATCTCATAATCACTTATAAGCTCATCAAAGATGCACCGAAGTTTGGAAAGGGTGTGGAGTTCCCATTGGCCTTGTTCGGCATGGCAGCTATGAATTTGCTCAACCTCTTTCTAGGCCTTGATCTTTTCCGAGCATACAGTAGAGAGGAGAAAATTCAGCAAAAGCACCGGGAGTGAAAAAAAAAAAAGTAAGGAGGTGCTTCTCCCCTGTTGCGATAAAGAGGTGCTTCTCCCCTGTTCCTTTATAGCAGCTTGATGTTACCTGGCTCTCTATTTGTTAAGAGTCTTAGAGAGAATGAGAAAATGGGCAACCACAAAATTGTTGGTTTTTCCATAGTTGATCGAAATGATGTAAACTCTTTTTGTGAGAGCTTTTCATCAACGACTGTGAGTTGTAAAATTTTAGGGGTTCAATGATGAAAAAGCATTGGGATTGTATTTTTTCATACTGACTTTTCCCTTTGAGAGATCCTTTTTTTCTTTTTCTTTTTTTGGCTTTTTCCTTTTTCTGAGGAAATAATAATAATGTTTTCTAGGGAAGATAAATAGTTGGGTTGGGGTTAACTGAAAGAAATGAAAAATAAAAAAAAGGGCGACCCGGGGGGGGGGGGGTGGAAGCGAGGAGGTTAAATGAGAGAAATGATAAAGAATAAAAAAAAGGTCCTACCGGGAGTCGAACCCAGGTCGCTGGATTCAAAGTCCAGAGTGCTAACCACTACACCATAGAACCGTTCGTTGACAAGGCCTTTTGACTTTTATTATTTATTTAATATCCAAGGTGGGGGTGCGCCCACGTGGTCATGAAGGATGCGTTCATTTGCAAAAGATACATGAAAGTGTGCACAAAAAATCATGAAAAATACATGGAGAACTTCTTTCCTACAAACCAAGAGTTCTAGGTTTCTTTCTCTTTAAGGGATAAAGAAGAACAGGTAGGGACGGTTTAGAGAGAGAGGGATGACTGGCTTCTTTGAGTTCTTCTTCCTATTTAGCTTTATAATTGGATAGGATCTGATTTACATTCATGTCTTAATTCTTTCTCTAATCAGAATAGGATGGATCTAGATTCCCTTCCCCAAATCTTATTTTCTAACTCAATAAAAAACTTATTTAAATTTACCTGCTCAAATCCTTATCCTAATATCAATAGGATTCATCCTACATTTTATTCAAAATAAGTATCAATCAAGGATTTCCAAAATCCTTATCCATTTACATAGCTCTCGTATTAATTCTAAACTCATGGGAGTAACTTCTACCTCTCTACCTATTACCAATCTAATTGGCGACTCCCAATTGCACGTGGAGTCAAGGGGAGGATAGCTTTTATAATCCACCAATGTCCATTTTCATTGTGATGGTGGACTATCCTGCTCCGAAGGAGACGTGCAAATGCAATGGTTCTTCTCAACTATCCATCACAAAGAATGAACTCCACCTTTAGATCGGATGGCCAGGAGAGGAGTGGCATATTATTTGGGCCTCAAGCTCCTCACCTTGTCCTCTCCCCCTTATCCTCTCGCCCAGGTATACGAAGAAATTACTCATATTTGCAGGGATATGGCGGCATACTTGACAAGAATCCAACACTGAGGCAGATATACTTGCTAAAGATGGAGCCCACCACCGCCACACTGGAATTTTTTGGACACTCAGTCTTGAGTAGTCTCTTGTATTTTTGTCTATAGCTCCTGGGCAACTTTTTTGGATATTTTTGGATAGGGGTGCTGACCCCGCCCAACACACCTTACCTAGTGGTATATAGAAAGCTTTCGCATATTTGTATACTAAAGGTGGTATGGTAGAGCTTTCGAATGATTAACACTTCCAAATCATGTGTATGCTCAGCAAATCTCATGTACGTTAACCCTTCCAAATCATGTGTATGCTCAGTACATGTTGCGTAAGTTACATAACTGCATTTTCATCTCATTTTATTCCAAAATTGTCTACTACAGGTCAGGATTCGAACTTGGGCGTGCTGCATCAAGATCTGATGTTATCATTGAATTGGATGGCTAAGAGAGTTCGGTATCTACACTTCCCATGAAGACGAGATCGTCAAATTTCAACAACTTTGAGATTGATATTCATGCTTTCCCATTACAATAGACCCAAGGATCAAGGAAACCAGCTGACCTGCTCCATCCAAAATGGAAACAAAATACGAGAAAGCCCCGCCACATCTTCTTAAGTGCAGTGGATCTGATGATATAAATAGAAGTCTTAATGCCAGCATAAAACCTTAATGCCATAGCATACGCATCTGTCACTACATCCCTTGACGGAGGAATCTGACATTTTCACTTACTTTAGGAATCATTCATTAACAGTTTCAAATCCCCTTAAGCTATTAATGCAGCACCCCACTGCATAAAGTACAACAGGAACGAAAAGACTAAATTTCTTCTTTCCTACCATTAAACATGGCCATGCCACGTTCAGTGCTTGCAAGATCACATAACACGCAAATCGTGTATCCGTATTGGGCCTTCAATGCAAACAAACCTTCCCAAACACAGCCCTATTCTTATTCTACTGTCATAAGACAACAAAAAGGACACAGCTGTCGCTTTTACTCTCAGATTTCATGTTTAAAATGTACACTTTATAATATGTTCAATTTAATGTTTAAGCATCTGAACCTCAACATAGGTTGGTAAAATCCACATCTCAAAACTTTTGATGGGCACATATAATTTGGTGTTGGGATTATTCTTCCTCCTTTTCCTTTGCAATATGTCAATTCCAAAATTAAGAATTTTGTAAAAACCCATGTCATGGCTACAAGGTGGCATCCAAAATAGCTGCCATCTTTGCGAAAAATGGTTCTTCATTTCATTTCTTTTTCTCTTTGTACTTTTGCTCCCTTCATGGGAATAAAACAATGTGTCTGCCAACATAATTTGGCATTAAGCACACACTACGATTTTTCATTTCGAGGGCCACTTCGGTTTCTAGAGAAAAGCCTTCCAAACCCATTTCGAGTTTTCTCTGATGAATCATTTGCTGAAGAAGATGAGGAAGATGAAGAAGGTGGAGACTCCCCATCGTTGATAATGGGTAGGTCTGAGCTGCCATTGTTGGACGGCAAGTTGGGGTCTACATCAGAGAACTCAGGCTTCCCAGCATCAAACATGAAGTCATCAACTGTTGCCAATGCTTTTAGCTGCCTCCCAAGTGAGGCTATCGTTTTTTGACACTCTGCGAGCTTCCCAGCCGCCACTGCAAGCTCCTTTTCCTGCATGGTTTCAAACCAAAAGAACAAACAAGGAAGAGAAAAAGACAAGAATATAGTGAGAAATAGAACTCGGATCTTATGGTTTGCTCTCACTAAATGCAACGCCATTTGTTAGGTAGTGCTGTATCACCCTAGAGAATTTGCGATCTTCGCATCAAATATAGTAAGATGATCAACCCACTGATGTCTTCTTTGACAATAATCTACAGAGATACAGCAGTTTTTCCTTTGTGCGAACGACAACTTCGTAACCGTCTTAACAATTGAAAGTCACCACTCTCTCCCTATAGTTTTTCATGTGGTACACTGGATTAGAACCCACAAACTCAAGGTTCACAAGTGCCTTCAAGGTTTACCATTTCTCTCTCTCTTGCTCTCTTTGTGTGTCTGCACGTGTGTGTGTGTGTGTGTGTGTGCAGACAACATGGACCACTTTAGGCATGATATATCCCACAAGGCCACAACAGAAGAAAAGAAACTTAAAAGATCAAAAAGAAAATATCTGACCTGTTTTATTTTCAAACTCCCATTGGAGCTTACAAGCGTCGAGAGTTCAGCATCTCGATTCCTCTTCTTCAGCTCCTCCTCAAGTTGCCTGCATTTCGCCTCAACCCCAGCTGAAAACACCCTTTCTTCCTCAAGCCTCAACTCCAATGAATCCACCCTCTCATACAACTCCCCTATCTCCTTGTTCAAAGCCTCCAGCCTCTCCTCAGCCTCTGATCTCCTCGCACCTGCCACCTCCAACTCGAGCTTGGCAGCCTGCCTCAACTCATTAGCTGAGCCCAATTGAGCTCGCAGGCTCGTTAACTCATTCTCTGCCTCCAAAAGCTGCATTCTCAAAACCTCAACCCTCTCTTCTGCTTCAGCCAAAGCCTTCTCTAATTCACTTTTCTCACTCTTAAGCCTTTCAACCTCCTCCTCTAAGCCTTTAACCCTCTCCGACAAGGAGTCAACTTCAGGCTTTGTAGGGCCAACTGAACCCATGAGTGGAGGACCTGAGGAATCATGGGCCCCACCGTGAGCGGCCGACATTGAAGCAAGCTTCTCCATCTCAAGGAAATCGTCCATAAGATCGAGATCTCTAGGCCCAACATTTGAGATATTAAGGCCCAACCCCAAGCCTGAGGTCCCCGAGCTCTTCTCCTTCCCAAACTGGTCGAGCTCGGCTATAAGGGCCGAGGCCCAAGAGCCCGATGCACTTGGCTCGCCATCATTGGACTCCGAGTAGCTATCGGCAATGGACTCAACACCAACCTTTGGGGACGAAACCGGTGGGGCCCACGAGGCCTTGTGGACCTGGGCCCGAAGTCTTCTACATTCAGCTTCTAGCCTTGCGACCTTCTTTATGCTCTCTAAATGTTGCTTGCTTGCCATTTCAGCTGCTTGGGTGCTTAAGTCTCGGTCTCTCTCAGCTTGATCAAGCTTGGCTTGAAGGCTAGGGTTAGCATTAGGGGATGGTTCAGTTCTTGATAGTTGTGACTTGAGATGAGCTATTTGAGCCTCTAGCTCAAATTTGGTGAGATCCAAGTCCCTGGTTTTCTTGATAACAGCTTCATGGATGGCTTGCTCCCTCTCTTCACGTGCTTGACGTAACTGCCTTACACACTCCTTGAGGGCGCCATCGAGATGGCTCACTCTCTCTTCGAGGGCTGAGTTTTGTAGGGTTGCTGCATCAAGTTGTTGTTTCAAGGTTGCAGCTTCATTTTCAGCCTTCTCCCAACCTTTTTTGCAGAAAAACAACATATAGAATTATCCTTGGGAATTGAAAACATAAATCATCAGCATATGGCAAAAAAAAAAAATTAAAAATCAAAAATCAAAAGTCTCTAAAATTGGTAAAAAATAATGTAAAAAATGCAGAGACAACAAATGCAACCCTTATTGAGGCACAATAAAATTCTTAATATCAAATAAAAAATTGTTTCTCACAAAAAGGAAAAGAAAAAAGTGAATTTTCATTATTTTATCTCCAATAACTCTAAGATCGTTCCTTTTTTCATCAGAAATTCATTAGATAATACATAGGGAAAGAATTCATTGGGTCACACAAGCAAAATTTTGGAAAATCGGTTTTTCTTGTACCAACTTCAAACAATCAATTAGCACTAGCTTTCTGTCTTTGCTGGAGTTCTTAGGAATGAAAGATGAACGGAAGAATAGGGGGTACCTGATACAGCCTCTTCTGCAACTTTGGCATGTTGATTGACCAAGTCCTCTTTAGCACTGATGTTCAAGAGAGCAGCTGATAACTTCTCACTTAAAGCCTTTACACTCTCATTGGTTTCATGCCCCTCATCCTTCGTCTGAGCATGAAAAGGCGAAGGACGCAATACCTCCTGCTTCTTTTTTTTTAATATTAATATTTTTCATTGATTACGAATTGTATATACAAGTATAATAATCATGTACAAAACCTAAACAAAAATGAGTCAGGACAGTAAAAATAATAACAAAAAGTCCTGACAATGAGCTCAGGCTACTCTTCAAAGGGGTAGGTACCAACACGACTCTCTTGATTCAATATGCCATTCAAAAATAATGATTTCCCACCCAAAAGGGCTATGATTAAAAAGATACAAGAAGCTCAGGGCATCTCACTTGAGTCATAGGCCAAATCCACATTCAAAACCAGTAATTAGATCTAATGGAGATACAAAGATTGGAAAGCACACATATAAGGCTGCAATTTTTTATTTCTAATCATCAAACATTGTAAGCCCCATGTCATATGTTAGATTAGTAACAATGGAACAATATCTTCAGGATGCCACTATTCCCAATGGACATGGGCATTCGCATACCAGCAAGAAGGATTGCAGTCATTTATATTTTCAAATTTTTTTAAAAAACAACCACTATGGGAATGCAGAATTAACCGGAACCTTGGACATAAATGAGGTTTGGATGTCATAGATACATTCATAGTATTTGGATATCTCAGGTAAAAGAAGCTTTGAAAAAGATGAAGAGAGGAACGGCTTTAGCAACAAATAGTATCCCAATAGAGGTCTGGAAGTGCAAGAGATATTGGCATATCCTGGCTGACCAAGTTATTCAACAAGACTTTGAGAACAAAGAAAATGTCAGAGAAATGGAGAAAGTATAGCGATACCTATTTAAAATAAAATAAAAGACATAGAATTGTACGAACTATAAGGCATCAAACATATGAGCCACACTATGAAGCTGTGGGAACGTGAAATGAGTGTATCAGAAAACCAATTCTATTTTATACCAAAGAGGTCAATGATTGCAGCTATTTTCTTATTTAGGCAATTGATTGAGAAGTTCAGAAAGAAGAAAAAAGGCATCCACATGGTCTTTATTGATTTAGATAAGCACATGGAAGGGTACTATGGACTTAACTTGGTCGATGTTGGAAAAGAAAAGTCTTTAAAGGATGTATAGATGAGAGATATGGAAGAGGAAGCGTTGACTAGTGTAACGACAACTAGTGGAGAGAGAAGTGAATTCTTAGTGACAGTCAAGGTTTCAAAAAACGCTAGGCAGCCTTGAGGTGGCCTACCTAGCACCCAGCGCCCAACGCCTAGGGGGGCACCCAAAACCTCGAGCGCCTGTAGTTTTTTCACTTTGGGGGCTTTAATATATTGAGGGTTTTTTCTTCTTCTTTTTTTACTTTGGGGGTTAAAAATAAACCCCATAACATTTTTATACAACCTTGGGGGTCAAAATGATGCCTTTTGCCCTTTTGAGTGGTTTAAGAAAACAAAAAAGGCCTTACGGCCCTGGCCGCCCGCCTAGGCATGCGGATTTTTGATCCAGGTCGCCAAGGCACCAGGCGGACTGTTTTTTAAAACATTGGTGACAGTAGGTCTACATCAGGTGTCCGTGTTGAGCTCATATCTCTTTGTTTTGATTATGGACAAGTTAACTAGGCATCTACAGGATGAGATACTATGGTGTACGTTGTCTCCATATGACAACTTTGATTAATAAGACCAGAGATGGTATCAACGCAAAGTTAGAAATTTGGAGGGATGCTCTGGAATGAAAGAGTTTTTAAATTAGCCGGACTAAGACAGAATATATGGAATGCAAATTTTAAGGCTATCACAAAGATAAATATAAAACTATATTTTAAGGCTATCACAAAGGCTTTCAATATTGAAAACACATTTCTTGACACTATTTGAAAGTAGGCTCTAATTTAATTGTCTAGAGCCTAATCTCTATACAAACTGCACCCTTAGTAATAATAGAAGTAGAAACGAGGAATTTTAGTTAATATTGATAGCCAAGAAGTACCTAATAGAGATTATTTTCAACATCTTGGGTCAATAATCCATGAGAATAGAGAGATTGAGGAAGATACCACACATAGAATTAGAGCTAGGTGAACGAAGTGGAGATGAGTTTCCAAAGTCTTATGTGATCGCTGTACACCAATGAAACTAAAGCGGAAGTTCTATAGACAGCTGTAAGACCAGCTATGCTTTATGAGTGGAATGTTGGGCGGTCAAGACAAAACAAATTCATAGAAGAAGTGTAGCGGAGATAAGGATCGTGAGATAGATGAGTGGTATGACAAGAAAAGAAAGAATTCAGAATGAATACATCAAAGGGAACTTAGGGGGGGCTCCAATAGACGAATAGAAAGTAGACTAAGGTAGCCTGGCCATGTGCAATATTAACCTAGAACAACACCATTTGGTTCAAGTACAAAGCTCTAAAAGGTCAAGGAAAAGGTCTAAAAGGATATGGATGAAAGTAGTGAGAAAAGATATGAGAGAACTTAGGGGGAGCTCCAATAAGCGATAGAAAGTAGACTAAGGTAGCCTAGCCATGTGCAATATTAACCTAGAACAACACCATTTGGTTCAAGTAGAAAGCTCTAGAAGGTCAAGGAGAACGTCCAAAAGGATATGGATGGAAGTAGTGAGAAGAGATATGGCTTAATTGAGGTATGACCCTCGATAGAGAGGAATAGCAGAATAATATTCGTGGAACCGACTCCAAATAGTTGGGATAAAGCTTAGATGATGATGATAATTCATCCAACATAATTTTTTATACAATAATCATGTTATAAATAACAATTAACAAATCAAGGAATCAACCATTTAAGCGATGTGAGATTAGGACAATCTAATTAAATCCATACATTAGAAAACGTTTGTCGCTTCTAGACATACACATATCAATGGAATGAAACGATTTATATAAAGAAAAGAGTAGCAGAAATGCTGATCCAGATCAATCTCCTGTAATGTCTCACTCGGGAAACAAGCCTTCACCTCCTACGAATTTGTTATTTTATAGCACTTGGAATCGAGTATCTATCATCCAATAACACAACATATGCAACTAGGCAGATCTACCAAAAAGCAATTTCCAGAAGGAAACCAACTATGAGAAATGGACACTAAGAGATATTTTCTTAGTAAGATTCCAATTTTTGAAAGCCAAGATCATTAAAATCCTTTACTATCATCCCTTCACTTTTAAACAAATCTTATTTTTATAATCACGATGTCACAATAAAACCATAACTTTCACCATTAGTTGGTGTAACACAAGTTTGGGTGTCATAGCTTACTACTTTTCTAAAAAGCTTCACCAAACAAACATTTTATTCAAGCCCTTCCTCGTAGGAAGCGATTAATGAAATTTGCTAAGGGAATGTCAAATACACAATCTCACATTAATCTCAAGTACATGACACTTGTGAATCTTATATTAAAACTTAAGAAACCTTGCCCCAATAGCAACTACACTTTACTCTCTTAGTCCTTTAAGTTCTATACATTGCCATGACTATAACAATCTCGTATCACATAAAAGTAAATTTAGAATTAATAGAATGCAAGCACTTATCTCAATGTGAGTTACCATTACATGTAATTCGATAACCTCATGTTAAACTATGCACAAAGACTGTACAAGGTGCATGTCCTGCAACAGATTAACTACAAGGTTGCAACATTAAGTGTTGCGTTTCAACATAAGCATCTACGAATCTAAGTACTAAATAGACCACTAATTCATCTAAAAAAAGGTAACATTTTGCAAAATGTATCATAGCATCAAATACTTATGATGTTGAATATATTGATGCGAACATTGAAGATAGGCGACATCTCTAAAATCCATCAACACAAGGATGGCTCATACACCTAAAGGCCTTCACAAGAAAACTTTGCTGATTTGCAAACAAAGAGAAAAGGGCAAACAGCTGATGCTGGTAAAGAATTAAAGACGCATATGCACATCGCATGTCTCCAAGCACAATGTCAGCAAATGCATTAAGAAGACTGCATTTTTTTACAATATCATGCTCTCTTTTTTATACAGTTCATCAGGGAATATGTACAGCATAATAATGTAAGATGCCCATATTCCTGAAGAATATTCCCCTTCACTATCATGGAAGATTGACGTTTACTCATATTCTTGCAACAAAATTTTAAAGGCTAGCAGCAATTAAACATTCTGGAATTGTGCACCAAATAACTGAAATATGTAATAAAGGTAATAGGCACTGCTGCTGCCGCACCTTTATGCAAAATAACTAGAGAAAATGTAGAAGCTACCACCACTTTCTTCAAATGTGGTTCTAGCTGTTTATCAAGTTGATCAAGGAACCATCCAGAAAAGATGGGGTCATGCAAGAAAGTGCTACTAAAGCTCTTTATAGGACAAACTGAGTCAAGATGGGGAATATTCAAATTTGGATGCCTACAGCAAAGAGGAGTCCCATATACATTGGTTTATGAAAGGGCTCCAACATTGTGGACAAGTTGTGTTTTCTAGTTAACAAGTTGTAAAGAAACCTGTTAGGGAATTACTGAAAACTTTCTAAGGATTCACACATGAAGGTGTGCAAAGGAAGTGAACACAATAACTTCTCCAAAAGGACATGCTAAGAGAATTTTTTTGGTACTTCTGATTTTTGTAGGTGCAGACAGATATCTTATCCATTGTTTTCCTCACGCAGAGTTCCTGCTGCAGAAAAAAAAAACCCATATAATATATGCACATAATTTAAAATGAGGAACATATCCATGGACTCAAGCATGGAACAATGTGCCTTGCAAATTGCACCTCTAGAACTAATGGAACGAAAACTAGAACTAATGGAATTCAAATAATGGAATTCAAATAATGGACTCTATCACTTTTCATTTTCTTAAAAAGGAAACGAAAACTAGAACTAATGGAATTCAAATACTGGAAATTGCTGACAAACTATCAATGTAAGACCCCTTTGTGTATTTGAACATAAAAAGTGCAACACCAATCAGTATGTCATGAAGTGAATTTATAATACAAGTAGATCCCACTAAGAAATAGGTACAGCACAACAACCACCTATCATAGAACAATCAATATCTCTCGTAAAGCAACAACCTCTAAGCAAGGCTATGCATGCCACATTGTTAGCAACGTCTGAGAAACAAGCTATGCATAGCTATAGAAATTCATGTTATCACTTTTCTTCAGTGTTTAAAAAGCAGGAGTCAGCTTCAAACTCGGCCATGGGCCAGGCCGAGAAGGCTTAGGTTAGTCAGGCAGATTCCAGCTTAAAAAGCATTTAAAACATCTACAAAATGACTAATAACTAAAAATACTGATGTCAGGATATGGAAAAATCAGTAGAAAAAGTTGGGTATATTGATGAAAAAACTACATAACTTATTGATACTAAGTTCTTTTTATCTGCGAAAGTGCCATACATTCATTTAATGCTCAAAAATGAAGTACATAACAATGAGTTCCATACAAGCATCCAAATTTCAAAGTTACAAATATACAAGTCAAATTACACAATCAAGAGCCAATATGAATGAAGACGAAACAAGAGATCAACTAAAATACGAGAGGACTGCCGTATGAATTAACTTTTCAATGCTCGATTAAAAAAAATCCCCATGCTCAGATTTCACATGCTAATCTTTAAAAGCAATTATTGGCCGGTTCATATAAAATGGACATTATAGGAAACCACAACATTGGCCCTTCAATAAACCTTGGTCTGAAACAAATTGTCTACTCACTTGCTCCCTTACAATAACTCAAAAGAATCAATTAGATGACATGTATGGTACGCCACAGCACATGATTATAACAAACATATAAAGATTTTATACCGAACACAAAATGTGAGGTACAAACCATATACACAATGATAGAGGAACGTAATGCAATGCAATAGAAGGTAACTCTAGCTTAATATTATATCTCAATATGATGGTACAGAAAATTCCCAACATGCCATCTTGGGTCATTAGGAAAATGCATTAAAGTTTGTTGGCCTGCGTGCAGTGAACGTATTCAAGCTCCAGAATTTGCATCCTTTCACAAGCATCAAGAGAAGTTAAATGGAATGGTAACCTGAATCCCGTATATCTACAAAAAAAGGGAAACTAAGCCCTATATTTCCGTGCTTCAATTAGGTGATTGGGGCACAGTTTTTTTTTCAACTTTTAGATTTCTGTTAGTGGTTAGAAATATGGATCATTCAAACATCTTCCCATATGTTAGTCCAAAAAAAGCAATTGCGTATAGTGCTAAAGGTTATCAAAGAAAAAGACCCAAAACACCAGTACATAATGCACTCAGGATAATCTAAATCCAGATTCTGATAAAATGCTTCCTCTCACTACTCACCAAATACACAGGAAATGAAGTTTTTCATGTATTTCACAGGAAAAAATAATGAGAAAAATAAATAAAACAAAGACATACAGTAGCTGCAATAAGTAGAAATTTACAGGCCATTGCAGTAACTGGTTTACCTGCTCATCAGAAAATCTTTCAGAGTGAGAAGATAAGGAGCCCGAACTCTCGGTATCCGCAGGAGTTTTATCAGAAGACTTCCTCTTCCAAAGCCAGCTCCTTTTCTCCATATTTTATTCCAACCATTCAAAGCTTGCATCAATTATCACAGCTACTACATCTGTTCAAACCACAACCATTCTTCTATGGTCATCAAAAGACAAGCAACAAAAGCATGTGTTAACCACCAAAATCAAAAGCTCTGGATATCAGAGAAGAAGAAGCAAAAATTTATCAAAACCACATTTTCCATTTGGTAATGCCCTAAAAGAGTAACGAGCCAATTGCATTAACCTCATATGTATCAAAGAAAACAGGAAGCGATGGGAGGGGACCATGACGTGGGGAAACATTTCCCCAAAACCAATCGACATGAAGGAAAAAAAAATTACTTTTCCTTTAGAAAAACATCAGAAAAATGCAAATAAGGGGGACGCTTTTATCAACAATGACCTCAAAGTTTAAACAAACAAAAGTGCAGCAGCTGCAAAAACCCTCATTAAAACATGAAAAAGAGCCCCCACAATGCATTGAATCAAGACCCATTTTCCTCAAACAAAAATGCAAAATAATTTACAAGAGTACTTTTAACCCATTTTCCTCACAATAAAATGCACATTAATTTACAAAACTACATTTACAGCAACTTTTAGAGGGACCCATTACATCAAAACCCACCACTATCAATATCAAAAAACCCCAAAATCAAAAAATGGAACTGGAGGTATTGTTAGCTGATCTAAGTAAGAAATACCAATATTTAAAAGAAATAAAAAAAAAAAAAAAACCAACCAAAGAGAAAAAGATAGAAGGAACAATGAAATGAGTGCTCTCTCTGTCTCACACCTGCTGGCGTTACAGCCCCATGTGACCCATGGGTTGAATGAGTCTCACTTTTTCAACTTCTCCTTCCTTTTTTCTGATTTCTCCTTTTATTTGCTGCCTCCATTTTCAAACATGGGCTCCCTTATTCCCGCCCTTGTATCAGATTATCTGCCATTTATTATCTGTAATTACATTTATTATTGCTTTAATATTATTGTTTGGGTACAATATCGCTTTACAATCATACCTACAGTCTTTTTCTACTGTTTTCTCTAAAAAAAACAGTTTATTTTTTTCTTTTGATCAGAGAGAATTCTTAGAGTGCACGCCTGGTTTGTTAATAATGAAAGGCCAACCAGAAAATGAAATTAGTGATTTTCTATTGAACTATTTTAAATTTGTTTGGGTCTTTTGTTTGTTTTTTTTTCTCTGTTGTTCTGGATTTTGTACATTTGCACACGGTTTTGGTGAGTAAGCCAATTCACTTATTACCATGCGGTCATCGTCTATAACGTCATCTCTACGATTGATATCCAAAAATGCTACATCCACAAAAGTTAATGGAGTGAAGAAAGAAGTTTAAAAAATTAATATTTGTGTTTTTTTAAAAAAATAACTTCAAATTTAGATCACTATCATAGTTGAGATTATCAAACCCTAAAATTTTGGATCTAAAAAATATATTTGAAACATGTTTTATAGGGAGACCGTACTAAAGGGTGAGGTTTGTATAAGGTATGAACCTTAAACAATCACTATAAGGTGCAACACTCAAATCTCATCAAAAAATGTATTTTCGGTATTAAAACTTTTATCATGGTCTAATAGTCACCCTGATAATGAAATTTAAAGCTCTGAAAATAGTATAAATCTAGTAGATTTATAAGCAGTAGAGAATTTTGAAAATGGATAGTCTCGATAATGTATTACAAAATGATGTATTTTTTGTACTAAAACCTCTTATCATGGCCTAAGCGTTTATTTTAAACTCTTATAATCAAATTGAAAGCCCCAAAAATGTTGTAAATACATTCAAAAATCTTGAAAATAAGTGGTCTAAATAATGTATTACAAGATACATTTTTTAAGACTTAAAATTTATTGTTTTATCTTATTCATATATCGAGATCAAGATGATGAATCGGATAATTTTCTACTGACGATAAATACTTTTTACAAAGAGTTTTTTAAGGAGCACCTTACCTCTACAGTATAAGGTCGACACGTTATATAAACTTTATCCCCGTACAAAAATACAGTGTGTGTCTGACTCGACTCACGGAACACTTTTTCTTTATAATTTCAGTGCAAAGGACTGGTAATGTGGGGTGTGCAGCGTTCGAACCCGAAACCCAAGGGTCTGAATTTCAACTTTAAATAGTCTTACGGTTTTTACTCTTTTGTAGGTTGGTCCCCACCTAGATAAGTGACGAATAATATCCCTATCTTTTATGACAATGACCATACCTATCCCGTATCTTTTTGCCAGTGTATTTCTCGCCCCTGCTTTTATTTTTTTAGTGGAAATATGCCATGAGACCATTTGTCTTTTCCACAATGAGGTGGCACTCTTCTATTGGCCTTTAGCTAGACGTCTGAAAATTCGAAAATGACATTTTGAATTTGGTGATACATCGGAAATTCCCATATTTTACCTTTGAAAAAAGTTTATATATAAGGTTGCAATTTTACATGTAGAATTAAAGATGCACTTTATAAATATATCAAAAATTATTATTTTAATATTGAAAAATCCTCTAATTGATCGTCTCATATGTATGAATATGAAAGAAAAAAAAGATTTTGAGTCTCCAAAATAGTGTATCCTACAATTCATATGTTTATAGCTCTTTTTTATTTTAACCAATTTTTTAGTTTAAAATTTTATAATTAGATATGAAAATAGATTTTGAGATAATCTGAAAAATGCTTTTGCCAAAATTGCATATTATGATAAAATTTGAAGATGCGCCTTAATTGGATTGTTCAAGACTGCAACCTCATAGAAACCACACCCAACATAACATTCTTGTCCCAAAACGCTTTCATGTATATATTCTCTTTTTGTTAACATATATATTAGGAAGAAAGTTATTTCATACGGCGGGGACTGCATTTCTATATTTATGGTCCTCAAGATATAAAGTATTCATCTTAAAGATGGATACAAATAGGTGGTCCATCTAAAAACAATTGAAACTAATGGTTCAAATGCTTTTTTAATAGAATTATAATTTTAAAATTTTAAAATTTATTTGTTTTTTTATATTTATGATCTCTCCATGTCAGAGATTACATATCCTTACCAAAAATCTATGTCAAAAATAGATTTTTAAAAGGTGACTCATTGCTACATGGGCTCATGGAAACCGTGTCCCTACTATAAAGCAAGCAGCTATGTCAATCGATGCATTTAGTCAAATGTGATCTTCTTCAAAAATTGATATTAGGAAAGGATTTCAGATGTATAAAATTATCGCGATCATGAATCTTAAAAAGATATAGTCTAAAATTTGAAAAATAAAATATTTACAAGTTTGTTACTGAACCGTTCATTTTAAATATTTACATACAATGAGATATAAGCATTTTTTGAGTGACAAAATTGAAGGTCTAAAATATAAAGGCACTTAAGACTTATTAACTTACATCCATCTATACGAGGATTATTGGAAGGGAAAATTTTATATAAGATGTCAACTTTATAATATAGAAATAAGGTGCACATATGAAATCTATCCAAAAAGTTTGTTTCAACATAAAAAAATAAAACATAAAACATAAAACAAAAAAATTAAAATAATATATATATATATATTTGAACATATCGACTCCCGAAATGTGTGGATATAAAAAAAAAGAAAACAAGATTTTAAATTCTAAAAGTAGTGTATATCAGAGCACATTATATCGATAGTCTATTTTCAAAATTTCTAAGCATTTATAGATTTGCTTTATTTTTAGAGTTTTAAATTTTATAATCATGGATTAAATAGATTTCAGGTGTAATAAGGATTTGCGGTACCAAAACTACATCATTACTCATACTTAGAGGTGTGCCTTACTTTGATTGTTTAAGGTTAACGCCGTGTACAAACTTCACCAAAGGAAAGGGGGCAATGTGATCTCATTTGAACTTCACTATGATGTAAATACCAATGTTGTCGGATTTGTTTCAGAGTCTTTTTCAATTTGATGAGAAAAATGATGCAATTCAGTGCTTCGGCCAATTCGGAAGAAGATTT